AAGACAGTCAGTATTGTTGCATGCTACACTGCAGAATTGTGCTGCATGAGCATCGAGGATGAGCAAGTGGTTCCATTTGCCTTTGGCATCTGTGCTGCTGACTTTACACAGCATCAGAGAAATGTAAAAAAACACAGGAGTGTCCCCTCACATTAAATTCCTGGCTCTGCTGCTTCATAAATGCTTTATAGACACTTCACCCATTATTCTTTACATTTATTCTCAAACTGAAACTACAGGTGTTTTTTTTCCTTTAAACTCAGCAGAAAATGAGCAAGTGTCAGTAAAAAACAATGAAAGATGCTGCACTGACAGAATTTAGGCTATTTATGGATTACTGTTCATTCATAGATTAAAGAAACACGGTTGGTTCCAAATGTTTGGGTCATCAAGATTCAGGAAAGCGCTATACAATTACAGACCATTTATGCATATTTGGCACTTTAGATCGCACGTCTGCTAAGTCAGTAAAATACAGTGAGTCAGCCGCCTTTTCTTCTTGTGCAGGCACAGAAGCATTAACTGTGGATGCGCAACATTGGCCAAAGACATTATTTTGGTTCTGCAGAATTCAAGAACCCTAAAATCGACACAGCTTTAGATGTTCTGGTGTCATATTTTTTTGCTTCTGGAGATGTTATGCTTCCAACGGTTAACAATACAGAACGAACATAAACAAAGACTTGACTTTAGAAAAATCATTTTCTTCATTTTTTATCTATCACAAGGTTGAACTATCAAAGTGTCAGCGCCACCTAGTGTCAGAATCGTCGACTTTAAACTTCACATGTCAGAGTGTCACCATGGTTGAAGATGAGGTCAATCAGGGTGAAAGAGGGACAGAGGTGGTTGATTGGTCCTGTCACAGTCGCACAACGTTTGTCACGTGAAATAACTGTGAATAAGAAGATGTGGGTTAGAGGAGAACTTAAACCCTGACCCAAGGATGGTCTTCAGTTTTTACTCTTCAATCTCTCTTCACTCATCTGTCACTTTCCTCCCCTGCAGCTCCTCGGCAACAATCTGTGTCTATTTCTGTCTTTTCAGTTCGACTATGTTCCCACACAAAGCTCCAGAACATTTGAGGGAAATATTTGAGGCTTCCAGGCAGAAATTTTGGATGTCTAACGCCAGTTGTCCTTGAATGCATCTGTTAATTATTTACCAACTAATTTTTTCAAACTTTTAAACCCATCTGAATTGTCTGCCTTAATAACACACAGTACAGTCTTATTTTTATCTGTGCTGCAGCTCTGCCAGTGTCTTAAACTGATCCACGTTGTAACACAGTGATGTTCCTCTCAGAAAGATCTACTAAACCACAGTGAAGCGTGTCTCTCCCTCAGTTCTCACTTGTGGAGATCAGGGCACTTATGATCAGTCACAGCAAAAAAGGAACAGACACTGAAGAGTAAATCCTGTCAGTCTTTTGTTTACTACTGCACAAACAGCCAGAGTGTTTATCATCCACTTCTACCAAAAGTAAGCAAAAGGGTTTAGAGCACGGCTCTCAGGGAGGCTCTGGTTTGTCCCAGATACTCAACTCCTCATCTGGGACAAACCAGACTCAAAGCATCAAAACACAGCAGTTTGTTAAAAATAAACAAAGTGATTAGTAGAGGAAAAAGGCTTCCTTGGCAGTTTCAAAATTCTAATATTATTTACAGGTAAATCTACATTAAAATTGAATGAGGGTTTTTGCGAGCACATCGTTCTGTGCTCATAGGAATTTTCGCAGTACTGAGTATCAGGACACCTTAAAAAGAACACAAAATAATTTGAAATGTTCTCCTCTGTCATTTTAAGAGTTTTGACAAAAATAATTACTGTGAACATTTACAGGTATACTAGAATTAACTAGTGACAAAATAGCTTCAGTAGGTGTCAGTAAAGACATTGAATTATTTTCTCTAGTAAAGAGACTGAGGGGGTGAGCAGGCTTGGATTTGGTGATGATGTTTTATGTCAGATTAGATTTGTTGTACATAGATGAGCATGGAGCTCTCTTGGCTCACTGTTAAGTATTTACAAGCTAACAACATATTAGCTCCAGCTTGTGCATGAGAGCTTCCTCTATTGTCTCCTGTTCTCCAACACACAATGCATGCTCAAAATGAGCAGTATGTATGCTGACTGGCTGGTCCCCAAAAACCCCTGATAAGACTCCAATCTCATGTCAAACTGATGTTTTCAGTGTTTTGTGTCTCTATATCAGCAGCCTCACACGTACAAACATCACATTTGTATCTTGAGATAAACCATCAACCATCAGAAACTGACGTTTTGAATAATGTACAGCATGTTGAGAAGCAGGCCGAGGAGTTAACAGGAGGAAACATACCATCACCAAATCACACAACAACAACAAACATGACATTAGACACATGAGATGAGGAGTTAAAGAGCCAATGCAGAGCTGCTACATGTGTTCAATACTCCACCGAGGATTCACACTGTGTCAGGGGAAAGGCTGAGTGTGGACGAGCTACGTTAACCTCAGAGCTGTGAGATAAATACGGCTGTGGTGTTTGTCAGAGCCTCCAGGGCCCACAGTGGAAGGAAAAGAAGTGGATTTTCACTGCGATAGTCTTCACTATTAGTTTTGCAGACTGTGCAAACAGTTTAATAATTGATGGACCCACAAGAAAAAGTTTCTCCTCCAGGATATGGACATTGTTACGCAAGCAGCGAGAATGGTTTATCTTTTATTTAACACTTCTTGAAGCAACAGAATGGTTTTAAATGATTACTAAGGGTGTCTGATATTTACTTTTTGCCAATATACGATATACACTTTGATTCCGATATCAACCAATACCGATATGGGGGGCAGTGGTGGAAGTTAAGTGTTGCCTGCTCACTAAGGTGATGGGTTGAAAGAGCATTTCTCAATTATTTTCTGCCCCCAGGGGACAGAATGTAAATACTATTAAGAGCCTGGTAATATTTATTTATTTATCTGTACAAACCACTGTAAGAGTTGCTGGCACCAGCATTCTTCATACAACCCCCTGAGTATTAAAACAGATTAATAAAATGAGCTACAATGCTGTCATCTAGTGACTAGAGGCTTCTTTATCGTTCATAATGTTCTGTGTTCACATGTTATGAAGGCGTTAACAGTTACGGGTATGGTAAGGGGAGTGAGGAGGTGTGGTGGATGTGGTAGAGAAGGAAAAGGCGTTTTTGGAGAAGCTGGTTTGAGAGCAATAAAGGAGTTTAGAACACGTTACTGCAATTGTGTTTCAATAAAAGTTCCTCAGAACACTGAGGCATCTGACTGCTCTGTCGCCGGGGCAATAAACTATACACATCACTTGGCCAAACCCAGGCATTGCGTGCATCGGGTTTTCATTATCAGAGGAAAAACCGATAATGATTCTTATAGATATTACAAAATATGCTAATATCAGGCCGATATTATCGGACATCCCTACTGATTACACAATAAAATAGCATTATAAAAACAAACCAGCTGCCTTGGACTACAGAATATAATTTAAAGCTCCTGAGAAAAATAAAGACTCTTAAATGCCTTCAGCACAAAACATCCACAATTAAACCATGATGAACATTATATGCTCCACTTGGACTTGGGTCAGAAATCGGTACATAATCAAGGCAACATTATACTTAATTATCCATGAAATCAGCACCATGAGGCTTAATGAAATGAATTTAATTCTTGCAAATTAGCTGAAAAATGGTCAACGTCTGTTGCATACAACCTCACATCTCATTTGTATTTTATAAAACTTTTATTGAAAAGTGTTTTTCTATCCAGTCTTAGACAGTATAGGGAGTCTGCTTTTTCCTGAAATTCTGTCAAGGAAATAGAAGCTAAAGATCAGTTATTAAAACTGAGGCACAAACAGATACTAGTCACTTATCACAATGGTGTGAGAGATTGTTTTCTGACTGGTAACTAGGGATGGGTTGATCCAACACTCAGAATCAGTTCAATATTGGTCAAAATTTTAGGATCAAACATTTAAAAAACAACTATAGTCTATCCAATCCGATAAGTTAGCCCAAATCCTCAACTTTGCGTGACATGCAGTACACAGGGACACAGTCACCTCAGCAGCGTATGTTGCTAACCACATGCTAGAGAATGAGAACAAGAAGGTATCAGATTGATATCAGTATCTGCAAATTAGTTGCAGTATCAGTATTGGACATGAAAAAGTTGTATTAAGCCATCTACTTTTTTCATCCACACCAAATTACATGGAGAAAATTGTCATTTTTTGCTTAAAGGTAAACAGAAAGTGCTTCACTGCTGAACATTTAAATGAAGAATTTTAAACAGCAAAACACTTGAACTGAGCAACAGGGCAAAAGTGGCTCAACAACTGCTGTGTGCTGTAATACTTTAAATGGCAGTCATCTGTTAAATGAAGATAACGCAAACAGGAAAAGTACAGATTATTAGTCTCTGAGGCTTACTAGACCATCAGCCTGCACATGTATCTACTCATTGGCTTAGTCATCCTCCTTAACTGCTGCTACACCCTACAGAAAACTGTAAAAGTGTATTAATAGAAGTTAAATAAGGATTGTTTGTGTAGACTGTTTCCTTTTAAAATATGCACCATTGCACACAAACAGACACAGCAGGAAACACTGCATCGTCTCTTAAAGCAACGATAATGCAGTACAATAGCTGCACTTGACACAAGATTACTAACAAACTGCACCCCCTGTGGTCAATCTGAGGAATTATTTTAGCAAATGGAGGTCAATGTGGAGAATAATAAAACTTAACTGAGTATTTTTTTTACTTAGACATAAAAATTCTAATTAATCAACACTCCACTAATTGCCCCCTGGGACAAAGAAGTGTTTTAATTAAATTAATTAAATGTACATGTTGTTGTTGCCTTTTAGAAGACTCTCACATTCTAAGTTCCAGCCTAGAACATTTCTTATCCTGCTTATATTTCAACAATCGCGTTCCCAAAACCAGTAAAAAGGCAAAAAAAAGTATCTATACTCACATCCAACCATCATCATGGCCACAGAGAAGATTTTCTCCCCGTCTGTGGTTGGAGCGATGTTTCCAAAGCCGATGGTGGTTAAACTGGTCATGGTAAAGTACAGGGAGGTGATGTAGAGAGAGTCTTTTCCTGGACCACCCTCCCACTGACCAGAGCCGCTGGCGTTGTAGCGATAAGGTGATCCGATGCTGATGGCCAGATGGTAGAGCCAGCTGTCAGTCTTTATGGTGTTGGTGGCTTCATCGATGACCTCGTAGTCTCCTATGCTGTACCTGAGGAAGACCGACACAGAGAACTGCAGTAAATGCTGTGAGTTTTAAACAGACAGGGACAGGAGCAGCATCTTTTGGACTACAATATAAATGTTACTGTATTGTAGCATTTTAACCATCTCTGAATACCTGTTCCTGTTCTTAGTGTTTTTACTATCCTACAGTAATACTGCATTTCTGTCTGCTGTAACTAATTCTTGTTTGTTTGTTAAATATCTCTTGCATATAAATTTGTGTCTCGATAAGACCACCAGCAAAATACATAGTCAAATATATTAAATAAAAATGTTTTATGAACCAACCATCCAAGTGTGTTGAACATGGAACATGGAACTGGAAAACAATGGAATTATTTTCATCAAGAATTCTTTTTTTTACTATAGAAGAAGAAAAAACAGACACAGTACATCCTGTGGAGTGTCATTTCTTGTTGAGTATTAAATATTCATCATTTTAGTGATTTGCAGTTTTGTGTGCCTCAGGTGAAATCATCTACGGAAATACCTTCTTTACTCGACTATAGGGTATAAATAAATGTGGGAGCCGTTTGTTAGGTCTTGGCTTGACTGCAGGAAACTAAAGAAAGCTGGCAGTCAGCACAAGAGCAGCAGATGCTCAGTAATGTACAGACGGTGGATGGGGAGCAGCGGCAGTGTTTAGCATACAGAACCAATTAGGGAAAAAGTGTGTAAATTCCCAGCAGCCAGCAGGAGCCTCGGAATGACACTCAACTGTGAACAAATGAGGTAAGTTTCCCAAGTGGCTGTTAACACTGTTTAAAGAGAAGAAAGAAAACTCTATTTACCAGATGCAGGCGAGCCAGTGAGCCACCAGCCCAAAGACACACACCAGCAGGACCAGCACTGCAGCTCCGTACTCCAGGTAGTGGTCCAGTTTCCTGGCCACGCGACCCAGACGCAGCAGACGAACAACCTTCAGAGAACTGAAGAGGCTGCTGATGCCCTGAGAGGAAAGAGAGAAAACAAAACTTGAGATGGAGAGGATGAACGGTTAAGAGAGAACAGTGTGAGAACTTACTGCACGATGGAAATAACGGTGAGAGAGAAACAGAGCGACAAGAGGAAGATCTGATATAATGAGATGAGTCTGGGTTTTCTTTAACACTAGCATGGCACATGAAAGCCTTCATCAACATAAGAGATTCAAAAGTGTTTGTGTCAATTTATCTCAAAATTGGTTAAATAAAGTTACATAATTGTTAGCTTTTTGTTGTCATTGTTGGCATAAATGAACAAAAAGACATGTAAAAACCTGAAGTAAAATGGCACAAATGGCTCATATATAAATCCCAGAACAGAGACACCACTTAAGACCTGAATGTATTCAGTGATATGTACAAATCATTTCCACACATGTAACCTCCTGATACTTTTTGTTGTATTTTGTGCTGTATATAATGAACAAAAGTGAATTATAAGAAAAACTGTAACTAAAGGCCTTCACTCTCCTCGGGGTGGGTCATTTACACCTGAGCCATTACCCTGAGCTAAGTCGGGGTGGGTCATTTACACCTGAGCCACCAGGTTTCCTTGTTTTCTTATGAAGAACACTTGACGACTGTATGGTTTTACATTCCCACATCATTGAGTCTGGAATTCCAGTGTTTTTCCATCAACAGTGTGGATTTTAATGAATGCTCTGACTCCATGTTCTCACTGAGCAGCAGCTTCCTCATGGCTGTGTCAGCGTGACAGTCAACGTCACCCAGAAAGGTCAGCCTGGATTAGACCTTTCTGAGCTGCTGCTGCAGCGGTGGCCCCCTGCAGACCATCACGCTGTGGCCCCGCAGGTTTCTCCTTGACAGCAGGAGGCTCCTCCTGACCCTCCTCTCCACACAAACATACACACGCAAACACAAACTCTGAGTCCTGACAAAACCTCAGCTGCAGCCTGAGGGAGTATCATCTCCCCCTGGTCCTGCTCCTCCTCCAGAGACTGTTGCATCAGTTTTCTGCTCTTGTTTCTCTCCTCATATTGTTGTTGTTGATTTTACAATAGGTGCACATGTTCACAGCAGCTGACTGCTGACTCGTGCAAAACCTTGCCCTCACACAACATCAATAACACTTATTTAATTATCTTCAACCAGTAAATTCCTTTCAGAGACAGAGGGGAAGCCGTAGCCAATCACAGTCTTTGTCCTCTGGGCAGTCATACAGGGACAAAGAACCATTCAGACTCACATTCACATCAATGACCAGTTTAGAGTGAACATTGACCTAATCTCCATTCTGCACGTTTCTGAACAATGGGCAGAAACTTGAACTTGCTGTAAGGCTGTAGCACTAACCACTCCACCACTGTGGACCCTCCATGTTGAGCATCTTGGTTTATGATATGGTTCAACAGACCATAAACTAAGTTTTTACAGCAGAGATAAATAACAGAATACTTTTTAATGAGCTGGGCTTTGTTTTATTTAAGTTTAGATCAGATTTTATTTCCTTAATCACAAAAACCAACAATTTGACATAGAACTTTATACCTAACTTCAAATAATAAATACATAATATAATATGTAATAAATACATAGATTAACATATATACATATGGTTTATGCACAGAGAAAATGTCAGTGGTTTTACCTCTCTCTCATGTTTTAATTTTAATATTTAAAGTAAAGTTGATGTGTCACCATAGCTTGAAAAAAATAAAGGAACACTTTGGCTTATTTCATTTTTCAAATATTTAAATTACATCTTGTATAATTAGCTAACTCTTACAATAATTTACCTAGATAAGTAAACTTATTAAAAAAACATGTATTTTTGCTCCCAAACTAGAGCTAATTTTACTGCTGCCTCCAGTGGCCATTTAGTGTTACTGAAGTAAATCTAAATAAAAGGTTTTCAAACACTGTAGACACTCAGGATGTAAGTGTGAAGGGCTTCTCGAATTAAAAAACGTAATTACCTCATAGAAAAAAAACTTTTGTTGAGTAAGATATCACATCACATCAGTGACACATTTATTCATTGAACCCTTGACTCAGCAGCTAAAATCAGTATTTAGTTTTGCTCAAATTGTCAGAAATGCTGGAGAAACTAATGTACTGTTGATCTAACTTGGTGACATTAAACTTTGCTGTTCAAGTGTTTTCACCTGTTTATAAAAGACACAGGGAAGTTCACGGTGATGACTGGACCAACTAGTCACCAAAAAACCTTCTCCCTTCTCAAGCACTGAGATGCAGCAACAGGGGAATTCATCCTGCAAACAGCCCATAATAATCTCTGCTATTTTTCCCCTCTAGCACCCTGCTCCTTACAGTAAGTCGCCCACACTCCCTCCTCAGTCAGCATCTGTCCTCCAGCCAGCTAAATCTGGAAAAGTGGCAACAAAAAAACGTCAATTTAGAGGAGAGGAAGGAAGACGGAGAAAGACTCCTGCTATCGTCTTCAAAGGCTGCAAATTTACGAGCCATCGATTTCTGTCTCAGCCGGTCTCCTACGCTTCGTGCTGCCGTAAAAAAAAAAAAGAAGACGGCAGGAGAAAAAGTCAACTCAGCAGGATGTGATTGACTGGATCAGTCAGAGGTCAGAGGATGACAGACACCTGAACAAAGACACGGTCACGGAGCAGAGTAGACAAAATTGATATTTAAATATTAATAGAACATAAAATAAAATAACTGGTTAATTCCAATTATTGAATTACGAACAAAATAACAAGAAAAGAATAACACATTTGCAGCAATCACACCTCTGCTGAGTTCCTTACTTTTAGACCAATAGGTGGCAGTATTGCACACAAAGTTGGTTTACCGGCCAGAAGAAGCTTGTGTGTAAATTGTACTTACAAGAGCTAACATTACCTACAACAGTCCTCCTACACAGAAACAGTGAAGCCAGGACACAATGGAAAATAGAAATGACTAAAACTCAAAATGTTCTTTTAGTTTCCACAAAATTGTCTGAAAAAATGAATCAGTTTCCTGAGAGACAAACCTGAGCCACATCTTCTCAATGGCTGACACTCACTAAATTCACCTTCAAATCAATCTGGATTCTCTATTTGTGTCCACCTGCAATAGATAATAAAAGTCTAAAGAGGAAATCAGGGGCTTTAGCTTAAAAGGACACATGATCTGCGTGTCCACTGCTGCCTCCTGTGGTCAGTTTGTGGCACTGATGTAAAGCTGAAGAACAGCTGCTGTAAACCTTCATTTCACTGGTTTTCTCATCAGACTTTTGTTCAGCAGAATGTGGTTTTTACTAAGATACAAAAAATGTAATTTTCTTCTGTACAAGGCCGACACCAGCACAAGATCAGGATCAGCACATA